ATTAAAAACTAAAATAAGAAGATTTTTTTTTTAGAACATTTTATATTTATCTTATAAATGGACATAATGTTCAATAATCACAAAATAAATACACTGTAAACCCTGACAAGTAAAGTTTACTTGAAAAAACCATGGAAATAAATTGCGTATTAACTTCACTTGAATTCCTCGAGTACATCGTTTACTTGATATTACCAAGTAAACTCAGGTGATTGCAATAAAGTTTAAATTTCTACTTATGCTCCGACTGGGATTCGTACTCAGAACCCTGTAGTTGAGAGGCAATGGTGCTACCCACTCAGCCACCGGGCCACCCTGCCATGGTCACACCTGCGTCATTAAAGACTCTACACATCAAAATGTCAAAAGTGAGGCTTACTTGAAGAGAAACAGTTAAATTCAAAGAAAACCCTGAGTGACATAGGCAAGCTTTAAATAAACTAACAATAAATGAGTAATATCTACTTACTGGGAAAAATCTATTTAAAACTAGAAACTTGCAATGGCTGAAGCCATTGCGATTGACTGCGGAACAGATCTAATGTGGAATTTAGCTGAAAAATCCTTGAAATCCTTGAAACTGTTAAAATACTTTAAACATCTTTGAAACTCCTGAAGTATTTGAAGCTCTTGATATCCTTTAAACTGTTATCCTTTATACTGGTTTACATGTAAAAACCCCTATTAAGTTGCATTATACTGGTTTACATGGAAAAATCCCCATTAAGTTGCATTATACTGGTTTACATGTAAAAAACCCTATTAAGTTGCATTATACTGGTTTACATGGAAAAATCCCTATTAAGTTGCATTATACTGGTTTACATGTAAAAATCCCTATTAAGTTGCATTATACTGGTTTACATGTAAAAACCCCTATTAAGTTCCATTATACTGGTTTACATGTAAAAACCCCTATTAAGTTCCATTATACTGGTTTACATGTAAAAAACCCTATTAAGTTCCATTATACTGGTTTACATGTAAAAAAAAAAACCTATTAAGTTGCATTATACTGGTTTACATGTAAAAACCCATATTAAGTTGCATTATACTGGTTTACATGGAAAAATCCCCATTAAGTTGCATTATACTGGTTTACATGAAAAAAACCCTATTAAGTGGCATTATACTGGTTTACATGAAAAAACCCTATTAAGTTGCATTATACTGGTTTACATGGAAAAATCCCTATTAAGTTGCATTATACTGGTTTACATGGAAAAATCCCTATTAAGTTGCATTATACTGGTTTACATGGAAAAATCCCTATTAAGTTGCATTATACTGGTTTACATGGAAAAATCCCTATTAAGTTGCATAATACTGGTTTACATGGAAAAATCCCCATTAAGTTGCATTATACTGGTTTACATGGAAAAATCCCCATTAAGTTGCATTATACTGGTTTACATGGAAAAATCCCTATTAAGTTGCATTGTACTGGTTTACATGGAAAAAACCCTATTAAGTTGCATTATACTGGTTTACATGGAAAAAACCCTATTAAGTTGCATTATACTGGTTTACATGTAAAAACCCCTATTAAGTTGCATTATACTGGTTTACATGGAAAAATCCCCATTAAGTTGCATTATACTGGTTTACATGAAAAAAAACCCTATTAAGTTGCATTATACTGGTTTACATGAAAAAACCCTATTAAGTTGCATTATACTGGTTTACATGGAAAAATCCCTATTAAGTTGCATTATACTGGTTTACATGGAAAAATCCCTATTAGGTTGCATGATTACACTGAAGTCCTTGAAACTGCTGAAGTCCTTGAAACTGCTGAAGTCCTTGAAACTGCTGAAGTCCTTGAAACTGTTGAAGTCCTTGAAACTCTTGAAATCTTGAAACTGCTGAAATCCTTGAAACTGTTGAATCCTTGAAACTGTTGAATCATTGAAACTGTAGAAATGTCTGAAAGAGCTGAAGTCCTATTAAAATGCATGGGCCTATTAAAATGCATTGCAGAATTCTCAATGCAGATTTTTGTCCGATTGCGGAAAAACCGGAAATCGCTGAAGTCCCAAAAGTAATAGCAATAATCTCCCAAACATGTGGAACGTTTTGATGTATAACTTGTGGAAATTGTTGAAAATGTGAAAGCTGTGAAACGTGTCAAAAAAAATGACGGAATAAAGAAATACAAAACCAATGGTTGACTGCGGAAGGTTCCTGGTTTACATGGAAAAATCCCTATTAAGTTGCATTATACTGGTTTACATGGAAAAATCCCTATTAGGTTGCATGATTACACTGAAGTCCTTGAAACTGCTGAAGTCCTTGAAACTGCTGAAGTCCTTGAAACTGCTGAAGTCCTTGAAACTGTTGAAGTCCTTGAAACTGATCATATAACTTTGATATCTGAAGTAGGATTGAAGTTAGGGTTTACAGTGTAGAGCTGAAGTTTTGGTTAACTAGAAAGCCACTGACCAATTAAATCGACCAAAGAATAGAAAGCCTCAACTAGAAACTTGCAATGGCTGAAGCCATTGCGATTGACTGCGGAACAGATCTAATGTGGAAATCTGCTAAAAAAAAATCCTTGAAATCCTTTAAAAAGCCTTGAAACTGTTAAAATACTTGATAGATATTTGAAACTCCTGAAGTCCTTGAAATTGTTGAAACCTTTAAACTCCTGAAATCCTTGAAACTGTTGAAACATTGAAACTCCTGAAATCCTTGAAACTTTTTTAAACCTGGAAACTGTTGAAAGTGTGGAAACTCCTGAAATCCTTGAACCTCCTGATATCCTTGAAACTGGTTAAATTCTTAAACAGCTGAAATCCTTGAAACTACTGAATGTATTGAAAGTGTCCTTGAAACTGAAAAATCCCCTCACCGCTGAAACAATTTGGTTCCTGTAACTAAGGAAACCTGGTCTGTGGTCATTATCTGGTGGTGGTCTGAGTCTTCGTTTGGGTCTTGGTCTGGTGGTATAATGCAACCTATTAGGTTGCATTATACTGGTTTACATGTAAAAAACCCTATTAAGTTGCATTATACTGGTTTACATGAAAAAAAAACCCTATTAAGTTGCATTATACTGGTTTACATGGAAAAATCCCTATTAAGTTGCATTATACTGGTTTACATGGAAAAATCCCTATTAGGTTGCATTATACTGGTTTACATGTACAAATCCCTATTAAGTTGCTTTATACTGGTTTACATGTAAAAACCCCTATTAGGTTACATTATAGTGGTTTACATGTAAAAATCCTTATTAAGTTGCATTATACTGGTTTACATGTAAAAACCCCTATTAAGTTCCATTATACTGGTTTACATGTAAAAACCCCTATTAAGTTCCATTATACTGGTTTACATGTAAAAACCCTATTAAGTTGCATTATACTGGTTTACATGAAAAAAACCCTATTAAGTTGCATTATACTGGTTTACATGGAAAAATCCCTATTAAGTTGCATAATACTGGTTTACATGGAAAAATCCCCATTAAGTTGCATTATACTGGTTTACATGGAAAAATCCCTATTAAGTTGCATTATACTGGTTTACATGGAAAAATCCCTATTAAGTTGCATAATACTGGTTTACATGGAAAAATCCCCATTAAGTTGCATTATACTGGTTTACATGGAAAAATCCCCATTAAGTTGCATTATACTGGTTTACATGGAAAAATCCCTATTAAGTTGCATTGTACTGGTTTACATGGAAAAAACCCTATTAAGTTGCATTATACTGGTTTACATGGAAAAAACCCTATTAAGTTGCATTATACTGGTTTACAGGTAAAAACCCCTATTAAGTTGCATTATACTGGTTTACATGGAAAAATCCCCATTAAGTTGCATTATACTGGTTTACATGAAAAAAAACCCTATTAAGTTGCATTATACTGGTTTACATGAAAAAACCCTATTAAGTTGCATTATACTGGTTTACATGGAAAAATCCCTATTAAGTTGCATTATACTGGTTTACATGGAAAAATCCCTATTAGGTTGCATGATTACACTGAAGTCCTTGAAACTGCTGAAGTCCTTGAAACTGCTGAAGTCCTTGAAACTGCTGAAGTCCTTGAAACTGTTGAAGTCCTTGAAACTCTTGAAATCTTGAAACTGCTGAAATCCTTGAAACTGTTGAATCCTTGAAACTGTTGAATCCTTGAAACTGTTGAATCATTGAAACTGTAGAAATGTCTGAAAGAGCTGAAGTCCTATTAAAATGCATGGGCCTATTAAAATGCATTGCAGAATTCTCAATGCAGATTTTTGTCCGATTGCGGAAAAACCGGAAATCGCTGAAGTCCCAAAAGTAATAGCAATAATCTCCCAAACATGTGGAACGTTTTGATGTATAACTTGTGGAAATTGTTGAAAATGTGAAAGCTGTGAAACGTGTCAAAAAAAATGACGGAATAAAGAAATACAAAACCAATGGTTGACTGCGGAAGGTTCCGCAGTCAATCAATAAATTCATCAGATAAGATCCTCTATAATCAGGATAGTGATCTTCTACCTGGGGACAGAATTTTTTTTTTCATGAAAATCTGTTACACATAGAAATATTCCCCACAATAACTTGGACTCATTACCATAATTCTTATTCAATTAATACCAAGCGGCTTGTGGTGAATTTCATTTAAAATATAGTTCAATATTCTTTGTTGCTTCCATCTATGCTAAACATAGATGGAAGCAACAATTTCCATAGCTGTGAGATAACACAAAGTAAATAAAAACTGACAGCATATTAAATACTGAAAAGTTTAATTTGATTAAATGGATTTACAAATTACATTGAACTCAGTACAAACAACGTTCATGAACACAAGAACCAAGTGGCCAGATACTCAAAACTACACATTTACACGAACAATAAAATTATATTTATAAACATCCACGGTATTCCAAAAGCAAAATATAATTTCTTGTTCCATTCGTTCTATTTAGACTTAGATTCTCCCAAAATAGAATGTTTGCAACTCTGATAAGCATCTCGTAGTTTCTGGACCGATTCACCGAGTTCTGGATTGGCCCGCAGGGTGACCATCTCATATGCCAAACAGGTGAGTTGGACTATAGGCAGAAGAAAACATAATGAGTAAAAAATTGCACCAAACCCCAGACTAAATAACAAAAAAACAGCAGAAAGTGCTTTATAAAAAATAAAGATGTATAATGATTCATCATTACGTAATCTGTAATTTAACGTTTTGTGAATCCACCGCTGAGACTACGGGATCTCTAAAATCTTGGTATTTCGTCCCGAAGTAAGCTAATCACTTACAATCAAGTAAACTATTCCTAACCCGCCCCCAATTGCAACTCAAATGTAATGTTAGTGAGGCTGAGAAAAAGTGGCGGGCCCTCCAGTCCAGTGATAAAGTCAGTGCACAAAAAAGACAAATAACGCGATGATTAACGCTATATGCTTTTGTAAACTCAGTCCAACAGGGATTATCCAAAACAATGGGTGGGCAAACTTCCGTTGTTTTATTTTACTATATTGTTATACCGATGATAAAAAATAATATAATTGTTTTTTTCCTGTCTTGAGGAGCCTGGAGATGCCTTATAGCCGTAAATTAGCATGCTAGTACCTGATATATTCTCCATCTCCTCCGTCATGGTCTCCAGCTCCCTGTTGAGCTGCAGGTTGTCTTCACTGACCGCTTCTGTGGGAGGACGAAACTCAGGAGGAGGGGAGAAGGACGAAGAGGGAGACGAAGTGGCCATCTAAAATCGGTAATACAAGCCGAATCATGCAAACAGTGTTTCTATATAACAACAAACCTAATTCAAAGTATCAATTCACGAAACACGAGCTTAAATGAACGTTAGCTAACAGCGCATTAGCTAACAAGTGCCGAATCTCGGCCCTCAAATAAAATTAGTGTTTTGAAACTTTTCATCATTTAGTGGCTTTTGTAGACCAGCGTAAATGACAGACCAAACGTTTAACTTACTGTGGTAAGATGAATAGTTGTAGGGAAATGTTGATAAAGCCGGTTTATTTTTCTTTGCGTTCGCGCTTTTCAGAGTTGATAACTGCGCATGCGTAAACTCATCAGGGTACTTTTTCCAAAATATATAAAAAAAAATACTTTGGCATATGTTTTTTTAACCATGCTTTTATCATGGTTTAATATGCCATATGGTATAATGTGGTGATGGTGTGGTGTGTTTTTAACATGATATATATTTTTGTGCATTTTCTAAATGTATGTATTTTATAAAACAAACTAATTGACACTTGAGTCAGTAATAATTTATTTAACCCTGTTAAATGTTATGGTAGCCACTAGCCAGCAAGCTGAGTGGAAAATTATTTTACTGTGGGAGAGAATGCCCTGAGGGAGCTGAATAAGCTGACAGGAGCAAATGTACCTATCCTGGAACCGGCATCCCACCTGTGAAGGCAGCCAATCAGTGGAAGCAGGGGGTGTTACCAGGGAGATAAAGCAGGTATGACAGGTGTCATCTTGACATTAAGCAAGGGCAAACTGACTGAACACATAGGGACAGAACAACCAAAGTCTTGTAAGGTCTGGTAATTTTAGCAGTGATCGTTTTTCAGCCAAATTAGAAGAACATACTTGCAAAAGTCAGAGAGAGAAGAAGAGAGAAGATTTTACAATGTCCTCATTTGAGACTCAAGGCCAATCTCCGCCTCGATGTGGTCCACAGTTCCCTTCTCTGGCACAGGAGCCTCCAGAGCTCAGCATGTACAGTGACTGCTACTACCCTCCTCCATCAATGCCCAGCCCGCAGCGCACCACACCGACGTCCTACGAGCTCAGCGACTACACCACCTCTCCAAATCCTTACCTCTGGTTCAACAACTCTGCGCCATCGTACCTTGGAACCACAGCACCCCCAGGGAACCCTGGGCCCCCTTTTGTTCCACAGCATTATGGGATGCAGAGGCCTTATCTTGGTCCGGCTGGAGCTGGAGGTCCAGGAGGGGAGCTAAACTGGTTCTCACTGCCCTCACAAGAAGATTTAATGAAGTTGGTGAGACCACCATACTCTTACTCCGCACTGATTGCTATGGCAATCCATGGGGCACCAGATAAAAGACTAACGCTAAGTCAGATTTATCAGTATGTGGCTGACAATTTCCCCTTTTACAACAAAAGCAAAGCAGGATGGCAAAACTCCATACGACACAACTTGTCGCTCAATGACTGCTTCAAAAAAGTACCAAGAGATGAAGATGATCCAGGTATAGTACAACTATTACATTTACAGTTCCTATTAATGTTGAGCATATGCTTATTGGTTAGTATGGTTAAGTTTTGATTGTGAATGTCATTGTCTCAGGACTCAGATTAAATAGGAACAAATAAAGTGTTTGTCTGTGTCTATAAATGTTAATGATACATGTTTGGATCTGCTGCTATTATAATATTTTTTAATTTAATTATTAAATTAATCGTTAGAGGAACAGAAATTCTAGTTAATTAACTACAAACTTGAAATTGTTTTACAGGCAAGGGCAACTACTGGACTCTTGACCCTAACTGTGAGAAAATGTTTGACAATGGCAACTTCCGCCGCAAAAGAAAAAGAAAATCCGACTCTCTCCCTGGAGGAGAGGGTGGCTCTGTGGCACAAGATTCAGGTGACAGCGACCGAGGCAGCCCGAAGCACCCTGGCAGCTCATCCCTCAGCCTGTCCCCCACACACGACCGCATCCCCTCTCCCTCTGCTCCCACCTTGGCTCCTTGCCTCAGCAGTTTCCTGACAGAGATGTCCGGGGTGGCCACTGCAGCAGGAGAACTCGGAGGTGATGGTTTGACAAGGCCGTTACCGATCAGCCTGCCTAGCATCGATATTTCACACAGGCCGCCAAGTTTTGGTGGTTTCTCGCCCAATTCTGGCAGTACAGATTGGGTACCGCAAGTGCCCCCTCCTCCCCCAGGGCTTTCTTCCTCACCCAGTCATTCAGCACTAGCATACACAAGCCCAATCCTCAACCAGTATGGTGGTTCCAGTGGGCATTTTTACCCTGGACTCAGCTCAACCGGTATCCTATATCACCGAGAAGGCACAGAAGTTTGAAACGCTAAGACTCTTCATATTTGTGTTTTTGATTTTGCTCCATGTTGTGAGGCCATACCAAACGGCATTAGTAGTTGGCATACTTATTGACTTTGACGCAAGTTTCTCTGGTTAGATGAGCATTGCAGCCGTCACAGAGACTGATACATCACGTGTATTTTGCCCACTTCTTGTAGGAATTAAATAGTTTTATTTAACATTTTAAAGGTTCGTCTCTGTTTTGTTTGCGCTGACAGGTACATTGAAGATCACTACAGCGTGACTACAAAGAGTAAAAAGGCTTTGATTCCCACAGAAACAGCTGAGTCAGCAGGACTGAACCAGCGAGGTCTCTGAAAAAACATACTCAGCTAATGCTATCTGATCCCCAGTCAGCTGTTATCCAAACTTCAGCCACTCTATCAGATCTGACTCATTATTAACACATACAAGATTGGTCTGCTGACATGAGACCCTTTCACACTGCTACCTGCTATTGTGCCTGATCTTATCACTCAGTCAACAAAAGCATTATGTCATTCAACAACAGGACAATTGCAGTGTATGTATCCAATTTGCATAGTATCAACAACATGGAGCTTCATTTCAGAGCAGACTCAAGACTTGTAATATAATGTAATCCTAGCTGACTGATTTTTATTTTTACTGTTTGTTATTGCTATGTATTTTTAGAATTGGTCTGGTTTTAACGTATTGTATGTATGTATGGTTTAGGCATGTTTTTTATATGAATAAAAATGAACAATGCATTTATTATTGTTTATGTATGTTTTCATTCTGATACCTCGATACCCCTCGGGGGAAAAAATAGCGATGATGGTAAAAATCAAATACCACTGTTGATAATAGTATAATCTTTGAATAACTTTGAATCTCTTTAGCATTGCATAACGAAGGACAAATTTCCCTGCATTAGATAATAGTTATGCTCACTAACGCTTTGTTTTTTATTTATATAGCACATGCCATATAAGACTGCAACTCAATACACTTTACAAAGACAGTGTAACAATACAAATCACAAAAGATAACAAAGAAAAGGGCACTGGATGAGGATGAGAAAGTCTCAACAAGCGTGCCTTTAATTTAGTCTTGAATGATTTCAATATCATTAAGCAGACATTTTTTTTGTCAATCAGGGCCTGAACTGGGAGTGAGTTGAGATTCCTTCTTAGAAGATGTGGGATATGTGGATCTACAACATAAATACATTCTTGCTCATTTAACTTTAGATACCAGTATATTTTACATTTTGCAGACATAATTTACACATGTTGAGTCACAGCACTTAAAAAAACAAAACCAAAAATCACATATTACAACAATGCACTGCTGGTCTTACATTATAAACAAAAAGGTGCATGTAAACAACACATTTAGCATCCAGTGACAGAAAACTGTCCTGGTGGAAAGCGATGACCAGGAGTCGAGAGCCAGCATGTCTTGAAACCTGATCCGTGTGTGATGGATGGGAAACGGTATCTCCAAAACGGTGAAGCCCCACATTCCCATGCAACAGTGGCTCTTCCTCCAGCTCAGGCCTGAATAATGCATTTTCAAAGACACTGCTGACTCTATGCAAAGTACTTCATTAGTCTGTAGTTGTGTGAGGAGTGGTTGACAAAAAAACACAATTCAGCATTGAGAGTCCTCATGTTCCCACAGCCACAGTGGGAAAGTATGTACAAAACACTAACGTTTGACATTTGGTATCAAGTCACAGTATCTGAGTTTGGTGCAAGAATACCCCTATTCTACATTGATATGAACTTTGGATAACATATATATTCTCCCATTCAGTTTTTCTCATTAATATTATTTTCTCAATAATATTATTATATTATTTTATTATGATTTTATTTCTTCCTCTTATAGTTTATCCCTTCGATTGACCCATATAAAGCTGAAGTATCCTCCTCATAGATTTATTTTTTCCTGAACTTTTTTTATTTGGAAAAATTATAATATTTGATAGAATATGTAATCGCTGCTATGTTTCAGCCTTAAAATCACATCTCTAAAGCACATTTATGTTTTGGACTGCTGTTAACAACTATTCATTGATTACTGAAATAAACAATTATTGGACTTACTTGATTAGTTGTGCATAATCAATTAATTGTTACAGTTCTAATTGTTGTGATACCTTGTTTACGAGTCATTTGTCGAAGCTGCAATGTGTGCTTCCCACGACAGCAGCGTTGAAGGCTCAGATTCACCTAAATCTTTTAAACGGTGGGATCCTCGACAGAAACCTTGTCAGAGACCTGAAAAATCTACCGAAAGGCACAAAATTAATGGACGAGAATAGTGTTGAATTTATGAACCTTCTCCTTTCGTTCTCCTGGACGCCCTATCATTTGAGGTTTATGGCAGTGGTATACTGGTGCATGGCTGGTTGTTTTATGTTGTTAGCTTCGAACAGAATAATAAATTGAGGCTGTGTGACTTTTTTAAATAAATGATAAAATCAGCATTATTCAAAGGAAATGTGAAGTTAAAACTAATTCCATTGAAATAGAAAGTTAAACCCATGCATTATTCTTTTGCTTTTTTAATGCCATAATTATTAATAATGCAGCTAAAAAGACAACACTTCCATTGAAACAAGCATGCAGAGGCATCTGATGCAATATCCCACTATTAGGTTTTATATGAAAGTATATAAATAACTAGTCGATGGAGGTTACAGTATTTAGTCAGCCACCAATTGTGCAAGATCTCCCAGTTAAAAAGATGAGGGAGGCCTGTAATTTTCATCATAGGTATACCTCAACCATGAGAGACAGAATTAGAAAAAAATCCAGAAAACCACATTGTCAGGTTTTTAAGAATTTATTTTCAAATTATGGTGGAAAATAAGTATTTGGTTAATAACAAAAGCTCATCACAATACTTTGTTATACTCTTTGTTGGCACTGACAGAGCTCAAAGATTATCTGAAAGTCTTCAGAAGATTTTCACACACTGTTGCTGGTATTTTTGGCCCATTCCTCCATGCAATATCCTCTAGACTCGAGCAGTGATGTTTTGGGGCTGTTGCTGGCCAACACGGAAACAGAGATCTTGAAATAGTCTTACAAAGCCACTCAGTTGTCTGGGCGGTGTGTGGGATCATTGTCATGCTGAAAGGCCCAGCCACGATGCCCTTGCTGATGGAAAGAGGTTTTAATTCAAAATCTCACAATACATGACCTCTATCATTCTTTCCTTTACACGGATCAGTCGTCCTGGTCCCTTTGCAGAAAAAAGGCATGATGTTTCCGCCCCCATGCTTCACAGTAGACCTATGGTCCAGGTACAGCATTCTTTCTCCTTCAAACACAGTTGAGTTTTTTTTTTACCAAAAATTTCTATTTGGGTTTCATCTGACCATATGACATCATCCAAATGCTTTCTAGCAAACTTCAGACAGGTCTGGACATGTACTGGCTTCAGCAGGGGGACACTTAAATAGGAGGACACTTAAGCAGGGGGACACTTCAGGATGTGAGTCTCTGGCGTCGTAGTGTGTTACTGATGATAGCCTTTGTTACTATCGTCCCAGCTCTCTGCAGGCCGTTCACTAGGTCACCCCGTGTGGTTCTGTGATTTTTGCTCACCATTCTTGTGATCATTTTGACCCCACAGGGTGAGATCTTGCGTGGAGCCCCAGATCGTGGGAGATTCTCAGCGGTCTTGTATGTCTTACATTTTCTAATAATTGCTCTCACAGTTTATTTTCTTCACACCAAGCTACTTACCTATTGCAGATTCAGTCTTCCCAGCTTGGTGCAGGTCTACAATTTTGTTGCCGGTGTCCTTTGACAGCTCTTTGGTCTTGGCCATAGTGGGGTTTGGAGTGTGACTGTTTGAGGTTGTGGACAGGTGTCTTTCATACTGATAATGAGTTCAAACAGGCAACGTTAATACAAGTGGAGGACAGAGGAGCCTCTTAAAGAAGGAGGGACAGGTCTGTGAGAGCCAGAAATCTAGCTTGTTTTTAGGTAACCAAATACTAAATTTCCACCATAAATTGCTTTCTTTAATAATCAGAGAATGTGATTTTCTGGATTTTTTTTCACATTCTGTCTCTCATAGTTGAGGTATACCTATAATGAAAAGTACAGGCCTCCCTCATCTTTTTTAGTGGGAGAACTTGAACAATTGGTAGCTGACTTAATACTTTTTTGCCCCACTGTATTCCATCATTTCCCCTAACTGCAACATTTTTTTATGTATTGTTTATGTATGATCCAAATAATCTGTGAGCCATAACAACAACAGTTATGAATGTAACCAGTGAGTGAGTGAATGAGCGATGTTGTTTGGGGGCTTTGATGCACCAGTGCGTTTGGCATCTTGCTTCCGTCTTCACCGTGCGTGGAGAGAATGGGAAAATATTTGAGCGCTATTGGTGACCTTGGTTTTTAAACATAAATAAAGATTACTTACTTACTTAACTACTAATTCATGGTTCTCTATTTCTATTACTACTTCTATTTCGCACAAATATTTTGGTTAAAGTTACTCTTGACGCTACAAAAAATCACGTAGTTGTTATATTTTCATAGATGTTGAAATTGCTCTTTTTGTTCTCTGTATTCTCCATGACCTTGTGTTTCTCTGTGCTGTTCTTTTCCTGTAGATATATATGTTTTTTGCCAGACTTTGATCCGTCTCACCATCAGCTCACTTTATTTACCCTACAACAGTGGCAGCATGACTGTCATTTACACTATACACAAAACAGACAGGAAAAGGGCCAAAACTGGATCAAGTAAGATTTTGGGATGATTGACAAAGTTAAGAGGTTATTAGGGGGTCAATTTCCTACCATTTGCATAACTGAAATGGTGACCCTGCAATTATATTTTATTGCAAGTGCCAATTTATTAGGCAGATGATCTTTCT